TCTGCCTCTAGATAGGCAGAGCCAGCTGTCACTCACGCAGCTGGGCGGATCCAGACATAATTGTCGGGATCCGCTTCAGCTGCGGCGTCTCAGTATACGAGCAGTAGCTTGCGGTATACTGCGATGTCTTAGTATACCGCGAGCTATACTGAGCTTAGGGTGACAGGAGGACGCTAGTTTGTGTCCTCCCGTTACCCTAAGGAGAACTATGCGGAAAAGCCTTAACCCCATAGTTCTCCTTTAACTCCTGAGTTTGGTGTCACTTTAAGCCAAGTGGGTGAGGTGTTGTTACAGTCAGGTGTATAGAAAGAAAAATCCAGTTCTCCACTGCAGACACAAGTCCCTGCACTCCTGAAAATGGGTGCAAGTTTACCAGCAGTCCATAATTTGTTCCATATTTAAGTAATACAAAAAGAAGAAGCTGCACTCCATATTGAAAATCTGTAAGAAGGATTTATTCAAACATCTGCAGGCTTTGCAGATGTACTTGAACCTCCCCCCACTAACGTTCTTCACTCACAAAGAGCTTCATTGTAGAGAAAAGGTTGCAAAGCAGAAAGGTATATTTAAGAAAGCTTAATCTAAAACAGCCATGGCCACAGGAATATTGTTTAACGAAAGCCACTATATATTTAAACTGTCCCATAGAAATAGCTCTAACAATATGTTGTGAATTTAGAAAGGAATTTCTAGCAATAGGTTTCCTATATTTTTTAGTGGAAATGCCAATATTTGCATCGCCATGTATAGTCAAATCTAGATAATTAATTTTTTTAAGTGTTCTTCACATGTATAACAAAAATGTTGATCATTAGTATTCAAACAGAGAACATAATTGTGTACATCTAAATCAACATCTGCAGCAATGATTAGATCATCTATAGATCTATATTAGAGCTTAATATATGAACCAAATGGGTTCCCACCTGCGGAGACATGGCACTACTCTCATTAACCCATATAAAAGTTGCCTTATGTGGGCATACATTTAGCACCCCTTGAAGCATCACACATCTGGTGATAGGACCCAACATGAAACAGGAAATAATTGTGCATCAGTACAAAAATAGGCACCTTCAATGATTACATTTTTCAAATCTTGACTATATACATTACATAGATCTAAAATATATCAGTAGGCCTTTATATCTAACAAAAGAGGAATTGAGGAGTATAAGGCAGATACTGTACATCACAAGTAATCCACCTTATCTACCCTTTTGTTGAACATTTATAGGTGGTTTGGAGAACCCAAATTTATGCAGGTATTTAAGAGGTTAAGATTTTATTGTTGTGATTTATTTTTTTATTTATATTCAGTATAAGTTTTTTATTAGAAGATCTAGTTTAAACATAGATGATTTGTAAAAATATATGTGCAGTATATACTATATATATTATATTATTATTATTATACTATTATTACATGTATTTATATAGCGCTGACAATTTACTCAGTGTTTTACATAGTTGCACATTTACATCAGTCTCTGCCCTCAAGGAGCCTTCAATCTAAGATCCCTATAACACATGCATACATAGAGGATCGATTTAGAGAGGAGCCAATTAACCTTAAAGCATGTCTTTTGAAGTGTGGGAGGAAACCGGAGTACCTGGAGAAAACCCATGCAAGCATAGGGTGAACATGCAAACTTCTTGCAGATAATGTACTGACCAAGAATTGAATTGGGGACCCTCAGTGCTACAAGGTAGAAGTGCTAACCACTGTGCTGCTATGTTGTATTTTATCAAAACTGTATTTGTAATATAGGGTTAACTGTGGCTTCATTTGAATGATAATTCCGTGGCCGCGAATGTTTTAGATTAAAGTGATATTAAAGTCAAAAGCATTTTAAGCTATTTCAAATGCAGAAGATATCACATAGAATGGATGCTGCTCCTTGATGTTTAAAAGTTTTTGTTTCCTGCAGAATCAGCTGGTCCCCTGAGCAGTAGCCCTGACCTCCTGTTTTAGAGTGACTCCTTCCTCAAGCGGAGTGCTATGCAATCACCCTTGTGTGTGGTAGTAAGCTTTGTGTGTCTCCACAAACACACAGACACAGCAAATCAAGCTACTCTCCTTCCCCTGGCCCCCTCTCCTGCCTTCTCCAAACTAGTAGATGAACAGTTGCTGGAGTCTGCTCTGTCCCTTGTGATATTGTGCTGGACAGAATTTTCGGGAAGCTGAACTGAGATATTTGGAAGCAGCTGTTCAGAAACATGATGATTATAAGTATTTGGGCAAAAAAGTAAAGCAATGCTTTGCTGGACATATATTTGTTTGATTTGGATTCATTATTGAAAAAAAGTTTGAGAGTTTAATACTACTTTAAGCTTTGTTAAATGTACTCTCCCATTTTGCCTCGTCTGCTCTGCAATTATGATCTTTGCAAGTGAAACGGGTTAGAGGGCAAAGGTTCAGGTGGATCTGCAAAGACTCTAGATAGTTGAATAAAATCATTCCTTTGGTTTTTTTTAAATATGGAGTGCGACTTTCTCTTCTTTTGTATTATTTAGTTACTGTCCAGTGTCACTACAGACAATATGGGCACCAAAGCACATACATGGGGACACCAGTGTGGGCTCCA